CTCAAAACATGGTGCGCAAGCAACAGCCAAGGCAGAGGAGATTCAATTACACCATTTCCAGTTTTGAGAAAACTTACTTTAAGCAACATGGCAAAGCTGGAGAAATGGACAGAAGAACAAGACATGGTTGTGTTTCCTTGCCTTGAGGAGTTGCATATTCGAGATTGTCCAGAGCTCAATACATGGTGGGAAGATGAATTTGCATCTCCGAATCTCTCTATACTAGGCATACAATCATGTCCAAACTTGCAGGCTATCCCAACTGGGCTGTGGAAATTAACATCTCTTGATATAAATGATTGTCCCAAATTAATGGGGTATGCTCAAGAAGACAGCGACAAATGGTCCTCCATTTGCCACACTTGTAGTATCAGAATCAATGGGCAGATGGTGCGATCCTGAAGATCTTGATTTTTCAAAGGTATGTTAAATCTATATTTCTCAATGCAGTCCCTTCATACCATATTTTATTTATTTATCTAAATTAGGCTTGCTGGTTGAACAGCTATATTCGTTTTATGATCTTAATATCTGGTTGAGTCCCTTTATCCCAAAGATCTTGGGCCAAATAATAATCTAATTCTTTACATTCGTTTTATGATCTTAATATCTGGCTGAATCACTATTTTAGTACATCTATCATTTCACTACCTTCTTGTCCATTTGATCATATATTATATCTCTCTAGTGCCCTTTTCAAGTCAACGGTGGATAAGGAAGATACAGATTGAGGATTGAAAAAAGGAATATATGCCATACGAACTTTATTTTACAGAGGTAATTAATCTTTTGCTGATTTCTCTATTCTTGATTAATCTAGGGTGAATTTCTTACCCTCTGTTTAAAGCAACAGCAAGTTATATGCACCATACTTCTATTATATATTTGCTTTATATTAACTGATAGTTAAGTTACAAGCCAAAATGTCTTCAAAACCCTACTAGGAAAGTTAAAGTGATGTTTTGTGACGTAATGACATAATTGCAAGCAATTTCTTCTTTTATTGAAGTTTAATTTCTGATTATATAGAGATCAGTGTATTGCACTCTTTGATTCATCTTATTGCTAATTTTGCTTCAGACAAAGAAGAAAAGAAGTCTCTTCCTATCAACTTCTGCTTCTCATTGGCCTTAGGAACTGTCAAAATATTCAGTTTTGATGGAATGGAAGGTTTGTTAGAATTGGTTGAGAGACCTCTTTTTCTCCAGGAGCTGAGAACTGGGTTTCACACTAATTTGATGCATCTACTTTTGCCGGGCCATGCACCCAATGCCTCTACAACAAACTAAAATCAAAGGTCTAGGTTCATGATTCTTATGATTGTTCCAATCAGAGGAAAGATGCATGTGAGGAAGCATCGGTGAATGGTCCAAGATTTTCCTGAATCCAAGAATAAATGGTCTTATTGAGAAGGTAAGTGTGGTTTATTAAACATCTATCATTTCTTTGAATGTATGTTACCCAGTTGAGAGTTGCTTCACAATATCCCCAGTATTGTTTACTCAGGTGCATGTCGTCCCTAATTGAAGCGTCAAGGCATGAACTTACTGATGATGGAGATCTATTCTAGCATCTGCTTGTAGAAGTAAAATCAAATATATATGTCTATCCAAGCAAAATGTTCCCACCCTGCAATTCTTTGATTTTATCAAATGCCGCTCGGAGTTCATGAATAAAACTGGTGAGTTCTCAAATCGTCATGAGTTTTCTTGATGACAAACCTTTTGGGTTCCAATTGCATAGCTCCTGATTTATTTTGTTTGGTTCTTATTTCTGACAAAATTCACAGGTCATCTTGATACCTCTCTAAAGGGACGTTTGCAAAAAGCATCGAGTGATATTGAAGCCCTGGTAATGCTAGAATTCATTTTGAAGATTTTATTATTGTTGTAACTCTATAGTTCCATATGGAGAAGAAACTTTGTAGGAATGTTATTTCCAAAGCGTAAGTTTCCATCTGGATTTCCACGTAAAAGGATTTTATTGTGTGGCCGAAGGCTGACGTTCATAGGAGATTCAGTGCGATCTGGAAGTTTGGAAATTCATTTTTTTTTATGGAATACTGAATCTTCATTAACAAATTTTAAGAAATACAAGTCTGATAACAGTGGAAAATTAACACTTGAGAACCGTGGCCAATTTCTGCTCAATACCGGTCAAGATTTCTATAGTTGATCTTGTTAGGGGTGAGCATTGAATACTGATACACTAATTATTTGCAAGTATTTTACTCATTTAACTAAGTATATTATTTGAACAGTAAAAAAATTAGATAAATAATAGACAAAAATAGTATATATGTAAATGTCAAATCAAGTAATAACTACAAGAGTTTAAATTTTAAAATTATATATTTGATTTATTTACCTGTTTTATTTAATTGATATATTGTTTATACTTGCATAATTAAAATTTTATATATATTTATTATACTTAATATCTATATAATAATAATTTTTAAAAATAAAAATAAAAAATCAAATAGGGAAGTCTATAAATATCAAATCACAAATCAAATATACATCACACAAACAACAATTTTTTCCCTTTCTCGCATTTACATAAAACTTTAAAGTTTGATTTTTTTATAGTTTTTTTCATTTACTTTTTCATTAATGATTTTCAAATTATAAAATTTATTTATTATGTAGATAATTTTTTAATTTCAAACTATCACATAAAAACTAAGTCACTTACAAAAAAAAAAAAAAAACTCAGTCCATGTGCTGTTAAAATTGTAAAATATTATTTTTGAAAATACTAATTTTGTTTAATTTAATTGATAAAAATGACTAATAATTATGACTATTAATTAATAAATGATAGAACAATTGATATATATTAGTTAATAAATTAAAATCAATCAATAAGCTAATACTTTCAAACACTATTTAAGAAAAATAAATAAAATTTTAATAGTCTTAACATTTTTTAGAGTGGTAATAACCATACCCAAAAAATCCTCATGTAGCTCTTGATTATCTCTCTTCAACTATTATAAATAAGCCTTCAATAAAATTGAATAAATTATCTTCTCCATTCAACTTTGATTTTCTTATTGAGCTTTTTAAATATGAATTTAAATGAAAATTTTAACAACATATATAAAAGATAATTAAATTTTTTTCTTATATAATTTTTGTTGAATAGTTTCATTTAATAAAAAAATTTTAATTGTCATTTAAATTATTTTAAATATTCATTTAAAATTTATGTTTAAATAATTTAATAGTCAAAATAAATCAACTAAATTTTAAGACGGGGATAGTTTTTTCATTTTTTTCTCAAGTTCTTTAAAATTTAAATAGAGTTTAGTAAAAAAAAAAATTTGCATCTACTAACTATAAATCTGGGTCTTGACAGACATTAAAAACCTTGAAATTTATGAAAAAAGAAAACCTTGAAAAAGATGTTGATTTCGTTCGCACCTAGTAGAAGCTAGTATTTCATCCAAAAAGTTTACTAATACTAACATGTTGCAAGTTAAGGTCTTCCATCCAATAATAATTTTAATAATCCTGGCATGTTGTAAGTTAAGCGTTTGCCTCTTTTCTGGGACAGATAACAAATCTTGTCCTCAGGGGAAGACTTTCCCGCATCCTCATCAAGGTGCCTTTATCCTCCTTGGCCCATACCTACAATGAAGTTTTGAAAGATGATTAGGGTTTAAGGTTTAGAGTTTAGAGTTTAGGATTTAGGATCATGATATGAAGTTATATCCTAAGTTTAGGGTTTAGGGTTTAGGGAGTTTAGAGTTTAGGGTCATGATATGAAGTTATATCCTAAGTTAAGTACTTTTAATCCTGTATTGTTCATGAACAACCAAGATGAGAATCCTCCAGTGATGTTGTTGTGGGAGAGATCAACAATCCTAAGGTCATTTTGGTGATGGAGGAAGTAAGGATGTTCTTTTAATGCAAGGTAAGACAAACTCAAAAATACAACATGGAAAATGTTCTTGTTCATCTCTATAGGAGCACCCCAATATTTGTGGAACTTTACTCTCATTGATTTTGCCATCTCTTTTACATCCACATCTTTCTCTCAAGATTTAGCAAACAATCAACCTTAAAATTCAATTAGAAGTAAAAATTAATCAATGAACAAAATGACAATTAAGCTACAAATTAATCAATAGAACATATAATATGCTATTCAATTAGAAGTAAAAATTAATCAATGACCAAAATGACAATTAAGCTACAAATTAATCAATAGAACACATAATATGCTAGCACACACGTGTGCGCGCGCACACACACACACACACACACATATATATTAACATACAATTAATTTTAAATCAAACTTAAAAGATGTTAATGCATTTGTAAGTTCAAGAGACAAACCTTACTAATTTCTAGGAAGAGAAGGTTGCTGGTAGTATATAAATTACCAAAAATCTTCTCAGTCAAGTCGTAGAAGTGGTCCAAGAACCTAACCACCCTTCTCACATTTTCCCAATTAATAAAAGATGGGAAACTAGGTGCATTTGGTCCATAATTTAGTTTAGCCTTCATATCTCTGTTACTTCTAACACATCTTTAGAAAAACAGAGCAAGTTATTCACAACTCTTAAACAAAAATATAAATAAACTCAACCAAACTACAAAAAAAAAAAAAAAAAAGACAATAAATTATACCTTTCAAATGCCATCTCATATTTTTCAGCAATGTATAGCATCAAATACGAAGAATTCCACCTTATGGGAACATCTAAGCAAAGCCATTTCTTTGTTTCAATATCTTTAAACTCAACAGTATCTTTGAATCTTTTTAATCTTAATGGGCTTTGTCTTACATAGTTGATAACAGCTCTAACAACAATTACACTCATGTGTATCTCCTCCTCATTTATTCAATCACCAACTACAAGGCTGATGACATTAGCTGTGCATCTCATATGTAGATCTTTGTGCACCCAAAATTGTTGTTCCCCACTTGCTAAGAGCATTCTTATGACCCCTAACAACTCCACCATTTGACGATGCATTGTCTATAGTCAATGAATATACCTCTTCAATACCCCAATCCTTCAAATACCTCTCTAGAAGGTCACCTAACTCTTCCCCCTTATAGTTGTCGACAAGAAAAAAGTTTAGGATTTTTTTTTTGTGCAACTTCTAATTTTTCATCAATATAATGTGAAGTTAGACATATGTAAGAAATTCTTTGAATTGAGGTCCATGTGTCACTAGTAAGTGAAACTCTTTGCCTTGATTCTTTGAAAAATGATTTAAGCTTCAACCTTTCATCCATATAAATATTATAACAATTTATGGTTATTAACCTTCTAGATGGGATTCTAAAAGTAGGGGGCAATGCAAGTAGATAAAACTTCCTAAACCCTTGCTTTTCAACAAAACTAAATAGAATTTCATCAACTATGATCAATTTAGCTAAAGCCTTCCTCACAAACTCAGGGCCAAACCTCTAGGTGCCTAAGTAAGGCATTTGGCCACCATTCTCAACATCACCACCACAATAGCTAAGCATTGTTTGATTCTTTCTAAACCCAGCATACTAACTACAACCCAATAAACGAGTTTTCATCAAGGAGGTCCCATACAAGTTAAAGACTTGTTGCAGTAGTTTCATTTAGCCTTGTATTTCCCATCCTTATCAACAATCTCAGTAAAATGATCCCATACTTCAGATCTTTTATTACCATTCTTTCTTTTGCCATTAATAGCATTCTTGCCTTTCTTTCCTCTTTCGCTTGTCTGAAATCATCTCCTAATTCAACTTTTACATTTTGTGGCTGCCCATTATTGATAGTTTAAGCATCTTGGTTCTACATTAAGCAACCATCATTGATAGCATAAACATCAACTAACATACAAGTTTAACTACAAATTAGATTATTTCTTATATATTTTAGAGTAAACATATCTTAAGTATAGAGAAGTTAACATCAACAATTTCTAAATCTTAGTACGTACTCTTAAGTTGTTAGGTTGCATCTCTGCCATCTCTTGGGTTATCAAGAATGTAACCTAAACAAGAAGAAGAACTGTAATTGAAAGAACAAAGCTAACACTTAGCATAATCCATATAAGTGTAAAATTGAAACAAGATTTAAAATTGCAAATAAGCTGATGTTTAATTTTAGAAATCTAAAAATTGATACTTTAGGATTTTTAAATGACATAAGACAAACTTAGATTTACTCAAATCAAAATATCAAATTTAGGGCAATACATGATAAATCAATTTAAGGTTTCAAAAATACTTGACTAATAGAAAATTTGGAGCCTTTACCAGCAACCATCAAGAAAAGTTGAAAGGAAAGAATAAGAGCTTAGAGAAGAGAAATGAAAGGTAGGGATTGGGGGTATGACAACCAAAGAAGGATCAAGGAGAAATATGGAAAGAGAATAAGGTTAGAAGTAAAAACAATGCTACCAGGCGATAGCGTTAATAATGCTACGAAGAGAAAATGACATTAAAAAAGAGTTTCAAAAATAGATCAAAGTTTAGAGAAGAAAAGGATGAACAAGTATGGTAATATGATATCTAAATTCTTTTATACTTATGAAAAAATAATGGTTGAATGGAAAAAAGTCATGGTGGAATGACGGAGATGGAGGGAAATTAGATCTTTAGATTTGATTTTGAAGGGGAGAAAACTCTGGGTGGGGAGGGAATCTTAAAATATTGAGGCGTGGAGAGGCGATAATGAAGTTTTAGGTTTTTCTACTATTCCCCCTTGTTCTTTTAATTTTTTGGCGCAAAAAAATTGGGCCTCAAATTTGATTTTTAGGAGGCCCATTTTTGGTTTTTGGTTAGTGGAAGGCCTAATTGAAATTGACTCAAACTTTTATTCGAGTAATACCAAATTCGAGCGTAAAAACCTGACTACCATTACTATCAACCCAAATTCATTTTTTCAGGTTGGTTTCTAATTAACCCTTTGGTTAACCACTTAAATGCCCACCCCTACTTTTGACTACATCACAAGGGTGGAGTTAATCTCAATGTGCTTAAAATACCCTCTAACCATAAAGTAAAAGCAAAACAGAAGAAAGGAATCCAATCCAAAGGAATTGTCTTTTCCATGGAGGCCAAAACCAAAAAAAACTCAATCTTAATTTTGATAATGGATTTTCTATCTAATTAATTTTTAACGTACCATTGCATCTCTACATTTCATTAACTGCAGAACAGATGCCCTTTAGTTTGTTGGCAGCCACTATATTAGAGAAAGGATATGAACACTACGAATTTTGGAAGTAGGACTCCATTAAAATGGTTTTTGCATTATGCACAAGGACCCTTATCAATGATACCTTAGTTGAGGGACGTTCATGAACGAAAAATTAAAGTACAAGGATCAGCTTTTTAAAGGAAAAACGTTTGAAACTGACATTGAACATCTGTCTAAAAATTGGGGTCTAAACTAGTAATTTACTAAAGACCTACACACCTATTCCGGTTGGGCCGGATTTGGACTCAAGACCCGGCCCAGAAAAACCCTAACAGCAGCATCCACCCTTTCTACTATCATCCCTCTGCTTCCCTCAGCTTTTGCTTCTTCTCCGTAGCAGCTGCAGCTTCACCTGCCGCCGGTTTACTGCTTCATCGCCCTCGCTTACTGGTACGTTTCTGACCTAACCGTTTGTTTGGTTACTTAGCAAATTTGGGAAATTAAAAAAGAAAATTGCCAATGCTAATATGCTTCTTCTTTGTTTTCCTTAATCGAAATCAAAACTAACCCTAGTTCCACAGATAGATTTTTTTCTTATCTTTTCGAGGTATTATATTAAATTAAATTAAGCAGCTGATTTTAAGAGTACTGAGATGTGGCTCTTCGACTGATGTTTTGTTCATTGAATATTTTGTGAGTCCCTTCCGCCTGGTTACAAAACAGTGGAATTTTATTCTTATTATTATCAATAATTATTAATCAAAACAAGGGTAGTCTTATATCAACTCAAAATTCAATCTTCCTTTCCGATGTATTGGATTGGATTGGATGTTGTGGGAATTAGGAAAGGAAATGCCAATTTTGCTTTTCAGATTGATTGTTCTGTTTCCATTAGAGAACTCTAATCTAATCTTGTACTAATTGACTATTTCACTTTGGTTTTAGGATTTCAGGGAATTGGGAAGAATTTGGAATGGGTGCCAGCAGCGATCCCAACCCTGAGGCCTCTGACGAGCAGCAGAAACGCTCCGAGATATACACCTATGAAGCCCCCTGGCACATCTACGCCATGAGCTGGAGCGTACGCCGTGACAAAAAGTACCGCCTTTCTATTGCCAGCCTCCTTGAGCATTACCCTAACCGTGTCGAGATTGTCCAGCTTGACGACTCCAATGGTGAGATCCGCTCTGACCCTAACCTCGCCTTCGAACACCCTTATCCTCCCACCAAAACCATCTTCATCCCTGACAAAGAATGCCAGAAGCCAGACCTCCTTGCCACCTCCTCCGACTTCCTCCGGATTTGGCGCATTTCTGATGATCACTCCCGTGTTGACCTCAAGTCCGTCCTTAATGGCAACAAAAACAGTGAGTTTTGCGGTCCTCTTACCTCCTTTGACTGGAATGAAGCTGAGCCCAAGCGGATTGGCACCTCCTCCATTGACACCACCTGCACCATCTGGGACATTGAACGTGAGACTGTCGACACCCAGCTCATTGCCCATGACAAAGAGGTATACGA